ATGTTATTCCATACCCGGCTACACATGGCTCGAAACCATCTCATGTTACGTTATTCCGTACCCGGCCTCACATGGGCTCGATAACACTCGTTTCCACGTCTTTCCATATCCGGCCACATATGGGCTCGGTAACATTTTATATCCTTTCATACCCGAATCGCATGGGCTCGGTAAATCACAATATGTATAAATGTATATATTTAAATGCAACAGACGTTTAACTTACATCGACTTCTAAAATTAAACTTAGAATAGATTGCACCTTATAGCCTTACGGTGCCATTCGGAAATATACATAACTCAAAAGAAAGCGCTATCGGTAACAATAAACAAGAACATGGAAAACTTTACCATGGAAGGCTCAAGACAGTGAAGTTTACATTATATGGATCATTTAGAAAGAAACACTTATATCAAGTCATGCCAAGAAGGAAATACTACCTTACTTACCTTTTTGAAGTACCAGTTACACCTTCTGGGTTCCCACCTTCCTATAACGGAAAGCTTTACTTCTAAGGAATCTTCAAATTCAAGATAACAGAGGAACGTTTGATACAGGAAAGAATGAGAGAGCTTTACTCTAATCTTGTCACTAAGTTGCCTTTTGATTATAGCCCCGAATCATTTACGGAATTTCTTAGGAGACTTGAGAGCTCTTTAGGTGAGTTAAAGTGGGTGATACTTTCTAGAATTTAAGAGAATGAGTTGCACTGCCTTTTTATACCCCACCAAGCACAAGAATTTCTGCCATTCCACATGCAAAACGGGTCGCCCTGCCCCGATTACAACACCCAGTGGCAGCTGACGCAAGTCTAATAAAAGCGTGTAATCCCTTTTGTCCCCCTAGGTGTCGCTGATCGATTGGCCAGACTAGAAAACAAGCTTATTAATTCTGAACTTTTACATGTGGGGTGTAACAAAAGTGAAGTTTCCTAATAGTTCGGTAGCCCCTTGAAGATAAGCACAGACGTCTCCGTAACGATCTGTAAGACTCTACTAAAATTTCTCATGACTAGTGAGATCTAACCAATCTAGTATGTTGATACCAACTTGTCATGTCCAACTCCTACCGGATCCGCGATGGCGCTTGACTCTACTTGCTAGGCAAGCCAACAGTTTCACAATAACAATGATTCAATAAAATAGTAATTAATGAACTCAACAACGAAAATATCATGAAATAACTACGAAACAACAGTAATACCACTACAACCATCCCAATAATCTGGTGTCAACGAGTACATGAGCACTACTGAATATCAAAATACAGGGCTGAATCCCCAATACAACTGTATGAACAATATAACAGTAATAACTGAAGTAAATGAAATTCAAGGTCTGCGGACGACATAGCAGCTACCTCGTAGTCTCCCAAAAGCTAGTATCAACACAACTCTAGTAATCACCACGTCCGAAAGTACCTGGATCTGCACACAAAGTGCAGAGTGCAGTATGAGTACAACCGACCACATGTACTCAATAAGTAACAAACCTAACTTTGGGTTGAATGCATTGACAAACTAAGAAGAAACAGTCAAAGACCAATATCAATAACCAGTAACAACTCAGGATATAAAGAAAATAGTATAAGTAAATAACTCAATGATATCATGCTCAGTTCGTTCATATTACAGAAATTTAGACATGTTTTCCAAGTATAACAGTTAAAGCCCAACACAGATAAATATTTTATTTACCAAATAGCATGAGAAAAGTACATCTCTATTCCTACATGTCGAATATACATTTCAAGTCAATATCGTCACAGTAGGACTATCAAGAATGACCACACTCAGTACACTCACAATGCCTGGCATAAAACCCCTCAATATCACACATACAACAACATTCAATACAGTACGGGTGCCTGGCATAAATAGCCCTCACCAAAGCACGTGTGTATATATATATATATATATATATATATATATATATATATATATATATATATATATATATATATATATATATATATATATATATATGGCTCACAATCTCATAGAACTCAGCCCAAGCACTATTACATATGAAATACAACAACGTGTGATGTAACAAACAATTAATGTACAGAGATTGAGATATGATATGCAAATAAGGAATCATGACTGAAACTTACAACATACAACTCAAAATAGCAAGAATATCTCCATTATGTCTCAACTAAATAAGCACGTATCCTAACCATGATTTCTAACATTAATCATAGCTCAAATAATCAAGCGAGTAAAGAAAGCACGGATATAATAGAGCATGATAGTAAAATAGGGCTGGTAACAGTCTAAAGTCCCGCATCATGAATACTCCGGTGCATGCACGCACGCCTCTCACCTAGCATGTGCGTCACCCAAACACGTTTCATATAACATAGTTCCCAAGATTAATTACCCTCAAATCCAAGTTTAGATATGTTACTTACCTCAAGACGTGCAAATCAATACTCCAAAAAGCTCTTCCCACGTGAATTCCTCCGAACGACTCGAATCTAGTCACAAACAACTTAACATCATCATATAATACTGTAGAAAACAACCTCAAATAATAAATCTTCGATCATTATCAAAATCAAAAAGTCAATCCCGGGCCCTTACCTCGAAACCCGACAAAACTAACAAATTCCGAACATCCATTTAATTACGAGTCCAATTTCACCCAATTTTAACCTCAAATCGACTTTCAAATCATCATTAAGAAATTTTTTTACTAAAATCCCCAATTTTCACTTAATTTCATCAATTAAATGCTAAAAACAATGATGGAATTATGGAACATAAACAAATCCGAGTAAGAAAAATACTTATCCCAATCCAAATCGTGAAAATCTCCTCCAACATCGCCCAAAATCGAGCCCTCTAACTTAAAATGTTATATATTAACCAAAACCCTCGAAATAGAGATGTTAAATAGTCTACCCATGTGTATTCATCGCGATCGCGGGACCTAAGTCGCGATCGCGAAGTACAATCAATCATTGCCCCAAAAATGGCCTAGGCGAATGCGAGACCCAGGATGCGAACGCGTTGCACGACCATCCTGAATCTACGCGGACGCGGGCGGCATGTCGCTATCAGGAAGGCTTATATCCTGACGCCCAGCTGAATTCCCCCTTCTACACGAACGCGACTGTCCTTCCGCGGTCGCAATGGCCATTGGCGTCACCACTTAACGAACGCGAAGAGCATTTCGCTTGCCATCCATAACACCATATACGATTGGTGCTCCCTTCTCGCGATCGCGAAGAAGGAAACCAGACATCAGAATCAGCTATGCCAAAACATGAAGAAATGGTCTGAAATCCATCCAAAACACATCTGAGGCCCCCGGAACCCCGTCCAATCACACAAACCAATCCTAAAACATAACACGAACGTACTCGAAGCCTCAATTCACACAAAACAACATCAAAATCACGCATCGCACCTCAATTCAAGCCTAACGAACTAGTGAACTTTCAACTTCCCAAACTCATGCCAAATCACATCAAACCAACCCGGAATGACCTCAAATTTTGCATCAAGTCTCAAATGAGACAACAGACCTATATCAAATCTCGGAACCAAAATCTGAATCTAATACCATCAAAGTCAACTCCTAGTCAAACCCTTCAACCTTCCAAACCTTCAACTTTCCAACTTTCGCCAAAAAGCTCCATATCAACCTAAAGACCTCCAAATCCAAATCCAGATACACGCCTAAGTCAAAAATTACAATACGAAGCTATTGGAATCATCAAAATACCATTTCAGAGTTGTCTACACAAAAGTCAAACTCCGCTAAACTCTTACAACTTAAGCTTCCAACCTTAGGACTAGATGTCCCAATTCACACCAGAACCTCCCCGAAATCAATCCAACCATCCCGACTAGTCACGTAACCATAAATGAACATAGAAGAGGCAATAAATAGGAGAACGAGGCTACAATACACAAAACGACCGGCCAGATCGTTATAAATTTTCTTATAAATTACAAGAAGCGTTTCATATCAAAGTTATTTTTCTCTATAAATAGTTATTGTTCATGGCTCTATCAAGGCACTCGTGACGAATAGATGAAATACATTTAAGTTCAAAAATATAATTCAAAATCAAGTTTTTATGCTCTTGAATCAAAATAAAGTCAAGCTCACCAAAATAGTTTAAATTCCTATTGGAAAGAATGGAGATTAGATTTTAATATTAAATCAAATAGTATTTATTATATTTGTTTTCTCAATTTTATGATCTTATATATTTTCTTAACGCAAATTTGTTGTTAGAATGTGAGTAGTAGCATGAATTCAAAATGTCAGGTGCAACGTAACACCTCTGACCAGTCTTGGAGGAGGTGACATCAGTTTGTAAAGATGGCGGCGCTCTTCATTATCCATTCAAAGATTTGTAGACCTTTTTTTAAGATAACGTGTCAGTCTCTGGGGGATGGACGTGTCAACAGCCCACTTCTTCCTTTTGGCTGCGACCCCACTCTGGAAAAAGATCTTTGCTCAGACCCTTCCGTCTTCCAGCTTCCGCATTCTGCTTCCAAAATCCCCATCGCTCACAAAGTAAACTCTTTTAAACTCTGCTAAACTGCAAATTAGTTATGTGCTTCGTTGTTACATTCAGTGGTGTGTGTGTATTTATTTAATTATTTATTTATTTATTTATTTTATCTGAGTTTATATGTTTTGGTCTCGGGTGGTGAGTGGGAGGGTCTTGGACCTCTTGGTTTCAAGGCTTGATATTTTGACTGTCTTAAGTGTGTCTTCATTTCTAGAAAGAAGTGCATTGTCATTCACTCTTTTCCCCTTATTTTTAGAGATTTTTGTGAGGAGCTTTTCAGTATGTAAGGCTTTTCTAGTTTGGTGTGATAGGAAATGGAGCGTGGAAAATGTTCCTATTATATGTTTTCCAGCTTTTATACACTTTCAAGAAACAGTTCACAATAATATGGAAAAGACTATCACTGTTTTATCAATGGGGACTTCTCTCTTATCATAAGTATCACTGTTTCATCCCTTTTTAGGCTTCGGAAAAGAGTCCCTTTAGAGTATAAGGTATTGCCCTAGTACTAGATTTAGAGTCATCATGTATACGGTTGTGTCATTAATTAGGAAATTTTCAATACTCGCCCATCATGCACCTTATAGTGTTAGTAAATCAGTGCTTCATCATACTAAAAATTTGATATTAAAAGAGTATCGTTAAGATTAATTTCAATTTTTGCACTAATTAATGATAGTTTAATTTACTTCCTAACTTGCATCTGTTGATTATAGTGAGAAAAAACAAAGTTACATCTTATAGTGTAGTTGGAGAGGTGGACTGGAACAATGATGACGGCTGTAAAGTTAAGAAAATGAAATTCTCTGTCAGTCTCGAGGAGGTTAGTCATAACTCATACTATCAAAGAAGCTTCCATTATTAACAGACATTTTGTAGTGATCGAAGACATATCTATAGTAAAATTACGCTGAATTTACTCAATATGGAAAGATGAATTAGTGTTGAATATTAGTTCTGATTCACCTGGTCTCAAGTTACCTGGTAATTTCCATTGTTATTTAAACTGTATGAAAAATGTGGGAGAAATTCTCTGCCTTACTCCCATATAGTCTCCGTAGCAAATCATATTGGTCGATTCTGTTCAATGATCGAATTATCAAGATAACTCTAGAAGATATTTAGCTAGCTAGGTCTCGATCTGAAAAAATAAACCATGGTTTCACTGGTTTTACTACACTGGACATTTTCAGAGATGACTGAACTGATTGGGCAGTGGCAAGTCTGCAACTGTTCTATTTCCTCTTGCATTATAACTAAGGATAAATGCCTTTTAGTTTTGTTGCTCCCAAGTTTGAGGAACCGGTTTTCCCAATAACTGTGGTATATTTTTCTATGTTGTGGTTCAGTATTATTGCCTTATACGAGAAAGTTCTAAGTTTTTGTCAAATATATCTGGTGCACTCTTATTGAAAGCTGTAATTTGTTCAGTCTGTGAATTTACATCTCTACCAGGATTTTGAGGACTTGAACGTTTATGCAGATGGCGTTTATTTGACTAGTTTGGGAAGTATAGATGGGACTGTTTCTTGAATTGGTCAACACTGTTATGATCGTGCTGATCAAGCCTTTGTCACTGCTCAAGTTCACTTGCTTCTTTGGTGTGAGAACGATATGCATTGTTATCCAAACCTGGACAGAGCTGCTGAGAGCTGCTATGGGTTTTCATGCCAGCTTACTCTGGAGACTGATAATTTGGGCTATTGCTATTCTGTCCCTGCCAATACGAAGTTTAACTGCTCTACAGAGGGAAAGGATGGTCAGTTTCATTTTGCAAAAATTTCTTGTGTTTCCTTCTAACATTTTAGTTTTTGAGATGTTGCTGAAACATGTTTTTTTTCTTCCATTTTGTATGTTTTATTTATCCTGCTGCTTCCTTCCTCAGATTCTGGTCCGCCTCTTGTTAGTAAAAGACACATAACAAACATATGTATGGATCCGATTTGTGTATATATAACCCTGTTACGCTTGTTTCCTTGTTAATTGTTTTTGATTGGAGACCCTCAGTGTTTCTCCTCTGGGGGCTTCTAGTGGAGACCTGAAGGCTCTTTTTTTTTTAATTGTTCTGGATTTCATAGTTTTTCAAGGATGCTTTTATAATTAAAAAATAGCGTTCTGAAATTTGATGCTTGAATTTTAATGTCAAAATCATTTATAAGGCCCACTTGATAATGCTGTCATTAATTTTTCTTCCTCGGTACCGAAGCTTCTAAATGGAGAGATCTGCAAGCTGGAATTGTGTTAGCAGAAGAAATCTGAAGGAAGAGGAGTAGGGGTGTTGACAAGATACTTTAGTTAGACCTTTTGTGGAGGGGAACCATAACCTTTTCTACCATAGAGGATCGGTTCTGCTTTTCCTTTTAGTTAGACCTTGCACGTAGTCCTGCATATTCTCTTAGATTTCACAGGCAGCTGTAATTTCACCTGCTGTCTTCATGGAATGATTTCTCAAGTGAAAGAGTCATGTTTAAGTACTTTAGTATCATTACGGCACTTCTGTCATATTCCCCATTGAACCAAAACTTTAATGCCACATTAACTTTGAAATTCTCTGCCGTGTTAGTAGTTGAAAGCTACTACTTTCTTCCCTATAAAGATCTGTTGCATTCAAATCGGCAGGTTCTTCATTCAGACCTTGGCAGTAAAAAACTTTTAGTTTATTAGGATATTACGGGATGCAAGAAGAATCACCTATAATGGCTGTCTTACTATACTCTCTTTATATCTAGCTTTTCCTTTTCGTTTAGTATCACATATATCTAGTTAATGATATGTGTTAAATGCATACTCTTCATTTTGAGGAGTTATGGTATGACTTGATTTTCTCAACTGACATGAGTAGAATACATGTGCAGCTGGAAATGCATCTTCAGCAAATGCAGACAGAGATAGAGAACCTTGTATGGGAAAGGAAGGAACATAAGAAGAGACTGCAGGTAGCCATCAAAGATAAAAAGATAATGCAGGTCATGTTAGCAGAACTTGAGGATGAACATGATGAGGCGATACTCAAAATTGAGCAATTGGAGGGCCAGGTTGATATATCTTTTCCAATTTTCTTTGTCAATTGGAGGGCCAGGTTAATATTCTATCAAGGAAGTGTAACATTTGATTTAACTTAGGAAGGAGAGGAGCTGAATAGACAAAGAGTTTACATGATCACTGCTTCCCTCTATGAATTAGAGATTCGTTTTGAATCTGTGTCTTTCAGGGCATTGGATGAATAATGGATGTTTAGAAATATAGGGACCAAGAATGAGAACAAAGAGCAATGTGATTATGGTGACCATTCAGCATTCTGTTAATGGGTGCTGGGTCGATAGTTAATTTAGAGGAAAAAGGCAGAAGGAAGGATAATAGTCTATGAATAGGCGTGTTCGTTGTGTTTTGCACGCTTAATTTTCTGAGTTGCACCTTATCCTCTTATGTTTTACGACATACCCAACCTATTTATTTCTTTACAAAACCATAAAAGAATTCGTTTTGTTAAAAAAAAGCCTTCCATTTCTAGACTTAAAGGGCAAGTAAGAGGCAAAATAGGATGGGGAATATTAGAAGAAACTTCCATAGACGTGCATTTTTCACAAAATACCATCAGCAATATATAGTTGTTAAAAAGCTAGAACTTAACCAAAAGCCACAAGTACATGCTTCAAGGGCTCATATTTCCCTCCTTGTTCTTGCTTTCACATCATATTGCGTCTGAAAAGTCCTGAATAGCATTTTGTTTCATTATTCTTCACCAAACATTCCTGTTTGCATAGTTGTGTCCTTGACGTTGATTTCTCATCCGTTTCTTATGAATATCAATTATACCACGGTAACCTAGAAAAATTACGTATCGGGTATTTAAATCTTACAGCTATTCAATTGCCCTTGGAAGTGTTCAGGACCCAGACTCAAGTTGACTAAAGTTAATAGTAAGGGATGTCAATAAAGGCAGGGACGCCTTAAGTGAAGCTTTAACTGCCCATCTACCACTGTTTGCTGATTTTGCTCGTGCATTTGATTGAAATCATGATAGTGCAGCTTTTACACTACTAAACTTTAATTTATTGTCAGAACTCACAAAGTTACTTCTTTCTTTTCATTATTGAGTCAATGCAAACTGAGTTTGGGGTAGCTGCTGGATGTCCATCCCCTTAAGGTGGATGAGTTGGGATTCGTTTCTTAAGTGCTGTTTACCCTGCAATTCTGTGGGTGATGGGTGGAGGTCACACTTTTGGTTTTGAATAACCTTTTTATGTTCAGATCTTTATTTCTTGCTACTTGAGAAATGTTGGACTTATTAAGAGAGACATTGAGGTAGATTGATCACTGAAAATAGGTAGCTTCAAAATCTGTTATAATGGTCCTCTGAGTTCCAATTTTTCCTCTGCTCTTGATAATGCAACTTTTGAGACAGGAAAGACTGAACTTTGTATTTGATATAGCTGCAGGATCTGAAAGCACAAAATCAACGGTTGAATGAAAGTCATGGTAAAGCACTTTGGGACCACAGAGACCATGTTTATATAGGCAATGGCCAAATATTGCATGGCGACGGCAATGCAATTCCATCTTGGAGATCAAGTGGCATGGACAGTATGACCATTGACCACGAAAGAATGCAAGAAGCCCTGGAAGACAAAAGCAAAAGTGAAACTACGTTAAACCATGATTTTATGGGAGCTAGATCATGTCAATATGTCAACCCATGTACTCCAACCACCTCCGAGGATGTTGACGCAAGTAATGTGTTACACCAACAAAGGGAGCTAGCTTTTACACGGACCCTTTTTAGTGCAATATTGTCACTTTTAGTTGGAACGATCGTATGGAAAGCTGAAGATGGATGCATGCCTCTTGTCCTCGCGCTATTTACTGTCGTTGGCATGTCCTTGTGGAGTGTTGTCCAGTTTTTCTCAACCATCAAGAACAGACCCGCATCTGATGCAGTTGCTCTCTTAAGTTTTAACTGGTTTTTACTCGGAACGCTAACATATCCCACGTTGCCAAGGATCACTCCTGTATTTGCACCAGCTTTATGGAGCCTCTCTGACAGGGCTGTGGAGTTGCTTGGTTTCTAATCCTAAGCATACATTACACTGCTACGTTCCCTTTTCTGGGACTCTGTGTTTTTGTTCTTGCAGCTCGTACGGTAAACTTTTACATTAATCTTAGTTCTTTCTTTGGTTTGTATTATGAAAATCTTCTGGAATGCTCTGGCACTCGGAAGAGCTTGGTTTTGCTTCAACAGTTGTACAATATCTGTCTTTGGCAAAGCATAAATGTAATATTGGAGTAATAGTTAACTGACGCGACTATCTTACCCCTTTGTAGGAGTGGCAAACGGGCGGGTCGGATCGGATATGGTTCGGGTCGAAAATGGGTAATGAAAAAACGGATCAATTATCCGACCCAACCCATATTTAATACGATAAAAAACGGGTTAACCGGCGGATAATATGGGTTACCCATATTATCCATGAGTTCTTGCATATGATCACTTTTAGGAGAATTTTTAATCTCCCTAACTTGAGAAACCCCCAATTTGAAGCTTTACAAATGTAAAAGTTAGATCCATTGGTTATCCATTAGTTATCCATTTTCTAAATGGATAATATGGTTCTTATCCATATTTGACCCGTTTTAAAAAGTTCATTATCCAACCCATTTTTTAGCGGATAATATGGGTGGTTAACTGATTCCTTTGAACCATTTTGCCACCCCTACCCCTTTGTATGGACGTCAAATGACTATATAAATTACCTCTATTTGTGTGGCTCGTACGGGGTGCGCTATGGTAAAAGTTTACCTGCCATGTTTGTACTAAACCATGTAATTAAGGTGAAAATATGTATTATTAAATAATTATGATTTAGTGATACTATGTATGTAAGACATTATGTAATCAGGGGCGGACATACGTGGAGAGGTGGGGGTCACTGGCAGCATATAGGCTCGGGAAAGCCCATGTATATATTACGGTAAATACATCGAAGACCTCTATAATAATGTAATTGTGCCCCCACAAAACAAATACGTCCCATAGTAGCACTAGTTCAGCGGGCCGTTCGCTCACACAGTTTAATACTCCATATTTAGTAGTTAACTTGGTCTAATTCTTTTTAAATTCAAACATTATTTTAGTACTGTCACACCTCCTTTTTTACCCGAAAGGAATGTAAGGGAGTTTTTTCCAATTTAAGTGACAATCGAAGCGGGATTATTTATATCAAATTTAGAGTCGCCACTTGGGATAATTTATGGTGTCCCAAGTCACCTGTTTAAAATCCCGAATCGAGGAAGTTTGACTCTGTTTTACAGTCCGCGAAACACAGAAATCCGGGTAAAGAATTCTGTTAACCCGGGAGAAGATGTTAGGCATTGCCGGGTTCCGTGGTTTTAGCACGGTCGCTTTAATCATACTTGGCTTGATTAAATTGTTTAATTACATGTTTTAGAACCTATGTGTATTTACCTCTTTTAGTTAAGAAATTATCTTAAAACGGGTCACGCGCACGTGTACCCATTTGTTTGGCACGTCAAGAATCATGTCACGCGTACGTGTCCACAATTAATAACGTTTTGTTAATATTAAAGAAAGTTTAGTCGAAGTTGCGCGAACGCATACCCCGATTTTGTTTTTAAGATCGTAATTATGTCACGCGAACGTGTACACAATCACGATAATATATTAAATCGCGCCTAGAGCAAGCTACGAATATTTATGCTTATTTCTTAAAACTAATTTGCAATTTGATGTAAGGTTACTAATTATAAATGCATTGGGAAGATATGCTGAACTTTGATTATTTTGGAAAACAATTGGGCCAGCAGTAAGCCCACAAGGTTATTTGGTCAAAGAAATAACAGCACTGAAGCTGCTTGGGCTCGAAATTGAGCCCAGAAGTAACAAAATATCTTCACAGACCTTGCCAGGTCCGATCTTACCAGGGCTGTCTTATTATGGGCTAACATCAGGGCAGCAGTTTAACAGGAAAAAAAAAACCTCAACATTAAATCTCATTTTTTTTGTATTAACAGAAAACATAATGGATGATAATTGCTTAAGGAAATTGGGCTCGAAATTGAGCCCAAAAGTGAAAGAAGCCAAGGGCACGATCGGGCCTGATTTTAACCAGGCTGCTTCATATGGGCCAACACCAGGCCCAATTATTTTAACCAAAGAGCCTAATTAATGCTAAGGTTCCAACGAGGCCCGTTTACTCTAATGCACATATGGCAGAAATATTATGTAAATTCTGAAGATCAAAATACATAAACAACCATGATATGAGCCTTACTCCACTGTCATGCTATTTGTAATAACAATATGAACTTAAACATTAAATTACTCAATAATCACCATAATCTCAAATATGTAACAATTTTAACAATGTTGGAATTCTAGACAGTGAGCTGAATACATTCAGCAACCAAACAATGCACTTTTGAACATGTATAGCATACTGACCAGCATACTCTACCAATGAACTAATTTAAACATTCATACACTAAATATTACAACTAAGTCATAGACTTAACACCAGATCCAGAATGCTTAAACAAGGGTGAAAAGAAACTGTAAAGCTAAACAACTAGAAGAGATTGTAGGCAGAGAAAAAGATCTGAAGTTCAATTTCAAAACAACATGTTATAACTTCATTTCTTGTCACTCAAGGTTCATGAGGTACCTGGATACAGCAAAGAACAGAATGAAGTAAGAACTTCAGCAAGAAATAAGTAGAGGACAATAGCAAATTACAGCAGCACACAGCTTCAGCTTAATCCATACTCCAATTAGAAAACCAGAAATCCCAGAGAAAGTTTTCTAAGTTTTTTTTTTGATAAAAATCAAAAGAAAATAGAACCAGCTACCAATGAAATAGTAGCTGAACCTTTTTGAGTGTTTTTTAGGGTCTGAAAATTCTGCCTAATGAGTGAAGAAAAGGTTCTATTTATACTCTAAGAGGGTTGTTGTGTGCTCTCCAAGTCAGGGAATAATTTCCTTTGAAAGCAGCCTTCAAAAGCTTCTTTTTAACAGAATTGGACAACTGGCTGCTTCTAATTGGTTTCAGTATTTTGTACTGGCCAAATAGAGCCAGCTGCCCATGTTCTAGAAGCTTCCTAATGCCTTATCTGAAATTCTTGTACTTTCACTTTCCAATCGACCCCTCTAAATTCTGCTTATTACCCTTCCTACCCCCAAACCCTTTTTGCATTGAAATTAAAACAAACACAATTCCATGAACCCAACCCAGGGAACTCTGTGGTGGATTGAGGTAACTAGAAAGTGGCACCAAAATCTCTACCATTAACTTAATCATGCTAATAAATCAGTGGCTTTAAACATATAATTAAGTAATTAACGAAATAAAAGTGCAAAACTACAATTAATAAGTAACTATACTATTCTGATTAATCTTAAACCAAACAAACAAGATACACAAAAAATATGCTTTTAACAGACAACAATGTAAAGAAAACAGAAAGAAAATAAAATAAACATAAAAACAAAGTGAAGGCATGAATGAGGGATGTTGCTGAACATGGACGAATTTAAACAACTGCAACTAACATGCAAACTAATCTAACTAATGAACTATTAACAGAGGGGAGCGATACCTAAGTGCTCCAACGAATTGTTAGAAGAAAAGGATTTCCGGCAAGCTGGAGAAATTGCTACACACACACTGGCCGGATTTCTCCATGCGAGACAGTGTTGGTATGCAGCAAATAACTCCTACTGGCCGGATAAAAGAAACGAGGTGAGGCGAGGACAGACTAATGCGATCCAACAGAATTTGACCAAGGTTTTGTGGCCGTGAAATTATCAAAATTTGGGCAATTCTCAAAAGAAACTGACTAGCATAGGTTTCGATCCCAAACAGGCCAAAAATAAAGACAACTCAAACGAAAGGAAATTTTTACGTTTTTTGTGATTTCTATATTTAGATTTCATGGAGTTTGGGCATTTTTTTGGGAGAGTTAATGATGTATTTGGGCTGAGAGGAGGAAGGAGGTTGTAGGTTGTGAATTTGGGGCTATTTGGCGACGTGCCGCCGCCGTGAGGCGATTTCCGGCGGCGGAGGCGGTGAAGGGTTTGGGGGCGGCTAGGGTTTGGGGTTTGAAGAGACGGAGGGGAGGGGAATTGTCACGACCCGGATTTTTCACCCTTGGGAGTCGTGATGGCGCCTACTCGTGGAAGCTAGGCAAGCCGCGTATTGTAGAATTTCTAACTCATTTATTAGCCCTTTTTAACAATTTAAACTAACATATGATCAACAGTGAAACATTAACGATAAATAGAAACAAGCGGAAGACTTTATATGATAAATTAACCATAAAGAGTACGACTATGCCAACATACATCTCTACCCGGAATCCGGTGTCACAATATCACGGACTGTCAACGAATACTACATACAAACGTCTGAAAGAAAAGTACTGTCTGTCTCGGAAGTAGATGAAAACAGAATACATATAAGGATAGAAGAGAACGTCGGGCCTGCGGACGCCTGCATGACTACCTCGGGATCTCTAGCTGGACTGAAGGCAGCTACCCAATGCTACGGTCCAAAAGCTACCGCTCCGGGATCTGCACATAGTGCAGAGTGTAGTATCAGCACAACCGACTCCATGTGCTGGTAAGTGCCTGGCCTAACCCAGGCGAAGTAGTGACGAGGCTAGGACCAGACTACCAAATAAACCTTTGCAGTTATATAATATGCAACGAAAAATAAAACAGTAATAAACCAGTAAAGATGGGAGGCGGTACATGCTGCGGGGGAACATCAATACCAACAATAATTAAAGAGAAGGGCATAAGGAACAGTTTAGAATCTACAGCAAAGCAATGAAGAACTCGCAACCAATCTATAAACAATTCGTATTTTCTATTGTTGCGGCACAACCCGATCCAAAACATAATAACACTGTTGCGGCGTGCAACCCGATCCTTATCATTTATCACTGTTGCGGCGTGCAACCCGATCCATATCATTTATCACTGTTGCGGCGTGCAACCCGATCCATATCATTTATTACTGTTACGGCGTGCAACCCGATCCATATCATTTATCACTGTTGCGGCGTGCAACCCGATCCATATCATTTATTACTGTTGCGGCGTGCAACCTGATCCATATCATTTATTACTGTTGCGGCGTGCAACCCGATCCTTATCATTTATTACTGTTGCGGTGTGCAACCCGATCCATATCATTTATCACTGTTGCGGCGTGCAACCCGATCCACATATACAGTTCAATACCAATGCACAAGTAGAGTCCCGGCAAGGGATCAATAAAGAA